TATATATATTTACTATTTTATATATTTATGTGTTTATATATAGTATATGCATTCTTTATTATATAGTATATATTTCTTTTTATATATTTCTTTATTTTCTTTTTGTATACATTTCTTTATATGTATAAAAGAAATTACATAAAGAAAGATATTCTTTATATATGTTCTGTACATTTTTCTTTATATATAGAATATATATTCTTTCGTACACCTTCCTCTCTATATAGAATATATTATTTTATATATATTTTCTTCATATATATATATTTTATATACGCATATATAGAAGAGAAATACATATAGAGCACAAAAGAAATATACATATATATATATATAGGGAGGCACAGCCTAAGGCAGATGTCCCGTCCCACCGCGGGGTGAGAAGATCACGGCAGAGGACGGAGCCCTTCCACCCAAAATTCCCGGGTTTTTAGGCAAAGCGGCTCCAAAGGGGCTGGTTTTGGGGCAGTGCTGGGGCTGCTCCCGCTCCCTCCAGCTCCCGGAGATGGGGGTGGCCACCCCCCACCTTCCCAGCGCACCCCGGGGCGCTCCCCAAATCCCCGCTTTTCCCTTGGGGGACGACGAGATCCCATTTTCCCCCACCAGCGGACGGGGGCCACGATTGAGTGGGTGTCGCTGCGCGCCCGAGATGCAGCGCGGAGGCGGATGCTGTTCCCGCGCTCTGGGTCTCCCTCTGGCATCTATCGCTTTCCCCCATCGGAAAAAAAAATAATAAAAATAATAAAAAACCAACAACAACAACAAAAAAAACCCAAAAAACCAAAACCAAAGCAAACCCAAACAACCCCCCAATAAATAAACCATCCCTGGAAAGAAACGGCACTTGGGGCAGGGGGAGAGGGGACCGGAGGGCGGCTCGGCTGAACCCGGGGATGCGGGGATGCCCGGCGGAACACAAAATACTCCGGAAGATGCAATTTTTCAGTATTTTCCCCCTTTTTGGGGGCGTTTAGGGAAAGGACGAGCCTCAACCCGCGACGTCCAGCCCATCGGAAAGGACGGATCCAGCCTTTATTAATTTAATTAGCGCCCCGGGGCTCCTTATTTTTTGCCTTTCCAGGGGTTTTCCGGTACCCGGAGTTTCTCCAGGCGCCACCGATGGTGGTGGTGATGATGATGATGATACGGGAGGGATTAAGAGCTAGTGTTGCTAATTAGTCCTGTCATGGGCACCGCTTTTAAATCACGCTAATTACACCTCCAGGGATTTCTCGTTCAAAAAACCCAACGTATAGAGCAAGGCGGTAGCAGCAAGTGACGGATGGTGCCGCTGGCGGCGACACCAGCAGGACGGCTCAGCCCATCGCTTCCCTCCTCCCCGGCCAAAAATAATAATAATAATTAAAATAATAATAATTAAAAAAAAAGGTCCTGTCAGGGAAAAATATTTAAAAAAAATAATAAAAATATATATATTTACAACAAACTCCAGTAACCGGCATATAAACAAATATAGCTTCAAGTAGTCCTTGATTATTATTATTATTATTTTTTTAATACTGATGGTCTCCAAAAAAAAAAAAAAAAAAAAAAGAGGGAGGAAAGGGG